AGGGACGGAAGTCCTGAGTTCCAGTACAGAAGGGTGCAGAACCCTTGGAACTGAAGGTAAGAGAGTGGAGAATTGTAACAAAAGCAAAGCTTTGCTTCCATCCTTCACTGTTCAATGCACAGCTTGCTAAACTTGGCTCCCCTATCTGGTCATTATCCCTTAAGGTATTTGTTCTCCTAAGATCTATATGTCTAATTTGACAAACTACTGCCTCAGTACCAAATGCACTACTTAGCATCACCAAAATGTGCAGAGTCTGACAAGGCAATATATTTACATGTAATGTAGACTTTATAAGCAAATATAAGGATCCACAATATGCAAAAAATATATGTCTTAGCATTAAATCCCAATACATTTTTGTGTTTGTTTTACTGATGCTCTGTACAACCTTACTATTAGCAACTTCGAGAATATGTCTCCAACATGAGTAGAGGAGTCAAAGCATCCTGTCAGGGCTAGGCGATCACATGACAAGGCTTGGATATGTGCCATCTAGTGTAGGCATACAGAAGGGACTGATCAAAAGACATAAACACTGTCAAAAACATTCCTCTTCAAAGAATGTGCAATGTGCAAAGCCTTGTTGTTCACAGGTCTAAAAACAGTACTGATAACATTTAAGCAACCTTTTCTCTGATAGTATCGGCGTGTGTAAAGTCACCGTCGAATATTCTTCAGTGCTCAACTGCAACAGAGGAATACGGAAAACGACTAACTAATAGGAAGGAATAGAAAAAAAGAGACAGGAGGAGACTATACGAAGTACAAAGAATGCAATCATACTAATAAACCTAAATACGAAGGGTCAGTACTCAACAGCATCATCATCCTCATTACCCCCAGACCCTTCACGCTGCTTTTCCTTCTCACCCCCAGCCTGCGACTCTCGTGAGCCGTTCTCCTTGCCGTTTTCATCTACATCCATCTCGGTATCCTTGGGTCCGGTCTTTTCGGTCTTCTCAGTGGGTGAGTCTGTTGAGGTGGCGTCGGGACGATCTACTGCTGAGGAAGGGGGATTATCGCCGTCGCCGTCGTCTTGAGTGGTTCGACTGTTCAATACCGAAGCCACTTTTTTTCGCATGGTGGTGATTTCCTCGATGGATGTTGTTCGATCGGTCTTGAATTGTTCCCATTCCTTTTCTACGGCTTCCTTGACCTAAATAGAACGGACATCAACAATCTTGTAAACAAGGTATTAGAAAGTGTTCAAACATACCTGTGTTCTGCGCTTAGTGAGGAATGCCTCTTGCCTTGGCAGTAAGACAGCCGGGAGGTAGTATAATGGTGGAGGGTGCGAGCGTTTTGGTACGAAAGTTGACAGGTTGAATTCTTCCGAGTCTGTATCAGTAGGAGGAATAACGTCCTCGGTAAGGAGGAAGTTCGACAGTAACGTGAGATGTGATCGCCGGAATTTGTGCTATGGGATGACTGGTTAACTTGCATTAAGAATACAGGGACCGATGAGGACGTACAATAGAGTCCTTCAGTTGCAGGTCTTCTTCCTTGCGACTTGCAGTAATCTTGTCCTTTTTGGCCTCTTCGATTTGCCTGACGATGTCAGTCTCTTTTTTTAACTTGGATTGCAACCTCTGTTCGATAAGCATTCGCTTCTTCGCCTACATGCCATACGATTTATTAGTGATTTTCAAGAGGAATAAAGCAAAGCAGGGGGCATACCGCCTCACTGGCACTCCGCTCCTTATCCTCAGCCTTGGCTTTGTTCAACGTGTTGACAAGAACTCCAAACATAGATTTACCGCGCTTTCGTTCTCCACCACCGACACCGAGTGCCTGCAAGTTCAACCGAGGGCGCCTAGGGCCCGCCGCTGCGGATGCTGGTGCCGCTGGCGTGTCCTGCATCGCTGCGTCAACATCTTCTGCAGGAGGTGCTTGTTGAGGCCTACGCGAGTGTTAGACTAAACACTCATAGAAGACACTTAATTACTTACTCTTCCGTTGACATCGTTACTGCAGCCTTCGTTGTTGTACACGGTGGTGAAAGAACGTCGCGTGCAGCAGCCAACTGGGCGGATAATGTCTGGCGCGCCGATCACACGTGAGCTGATGATGCATTTGCCTCATTCAAGCCTAACTTGTTCCCATCCCTCATCTCACCATGCCACCGCAGGCAAAAGTACAAAAGCCTGTGGCTAGTCAGACTAAAAAATCAAGCGCAAAGCCTACGTGGAAGAAGCAAATTAGTCCCGAGGAGAAATCAAAACGTCTTTTTCGGTCATTGTGCGCTCAAATTGATGGAGGTCATTTCAAGAACGCACTAAAGACATGCGACAAGAGTGAGTTCTGCACGCCATTGCACATATGGTAATATAGTTTGTAATATAATTCCAATTAATTAGTTCTGCGAATCGATGCAAAGGATGCGGATGCCCTGCAGACAAAGTTATTCCTCCTGCTCCAAACAGATCAGTGCGGCCCCGCCCTCGAGCTCGTGGAGTCGCTCAGTGATTCTGCGTCCCGCGAATTTGAAAAGGCGTATGCCCTTTATAGACTTCACAGAGAAAATGAAGTAGCAGAATTACTACCTCGACTTAAAGCCTCTCAAGGAACTGACGCGGTGTATGACCGCGGCGTACTACACCTCGAGGCACAATTGGTGCGTTCGGATCTATTCATCCCTCACTCTTCACTTTTCATATTGATCTAATAAACCTCAAGGCATATCGACGGTGTGAATATCAGGACGCCTTCGATCTCTACACGCAGCTTCTTGATTCGTCTTCCGTGGTAGGCATTATGCCATTGATTTCATCAGTGTTACTGATTATCTTCTGGTTTGCACAGAATTCGGAAGAACATGCGGACCTAGTCACTAACCTCAATGCAGCTCAAGCACACCTTGATTTCCTTACGACAGGGTACCTTCACGCGCTCGATGACCTCCCTCCGAGTGTCACCAATAGCCTCGAGACTGCTCCTCCACCAGCTCCTCCTGGTAGCATGGCCCTCCCGAATGCAATCATCACTTCGTCACAAGCTCCAGGAACATCAACTCAACCTACGGAGACGAAGAAGAAGGTGCGGATGTCGCACGTGCCCAAGGGTGTCGTGCCCGGTGTTACCCCTCCTCCGGACTCGGAGAGGTGGATCAAGAAGAGCGAAAGGAGTACGTTTGGCCAAGGGATGGGGAAACGTAGAAAAACTGGAGGTGGTGCGACACAAGGAAGCGTGGCTGAACATCCTTCTGGTCACACTGCCAAGGCCGGAGGCGGGAAAAATAAGAAAAAGAAGTGACAAAATTTGTAGTGTGCGTCGAGTCTTCTCCCTTCCCGTGACTTAATCGATAATCTGCGTTGCTAGGTATCTATTCATCATACACCAGGATTCGCATCCCTGCCTGTCTCGCACGAGTGTGAATTATCAATCTATCAACACACGATTTATTAAAATTAAATTCGCGTACCATGAGCCGAACAATGCGGCAAAACACCAGGCTTTCTTCCAAATCCGAATGCCATGTCTCAAACCGCTAGCAGATAATATTTCCTTTGAACTGCTTCAAGATATTATTAAGACGTTCCCCATATTGATGAGTAGCAAGGCATGATTGCGGACGAGCGTCAAGCCGAGAAGTCCTTCAAGTGACGGAACTAACTCCAACCGGGCATCTAGGCCAATACTCCATGAAATGCGATCCACGCGTATTAAGACGTTCTTGCTCATGGTCATCCTCAAGTTTGTCGTGTGTTCCAATTTGCTGTCCTATAAGGGCTGGGTACCTACTGGCATTCTCCCTTCAAGGAGCTTGCTCTAATCTCTTTTAGCTTTGTCTATTCTGTCTTTGTGTTTTTGCTCACGATAAGCCATGTCTTCAGCGGGCATTCTCGGTGTTGTCATCCTTGCGATGTACGGTGACAGGACTCCGTACTACCAACATCCAATGACCTACCAGCAGGGGTACACCAAGCTTACACCTCTTGGTCAGGTCCGTCCTTCAACTTAACATTTCTCAAGAATACCGTTCATTTCCTGACATGCTATCTGGCCTTCTTTCCACACACGTGCTTGGCTCATGCCTTGTAGATGCAAGAACTGCAACTTGGTTCATACCTGCGCTCAGAATACCTCAACCCGACTTCAGCCAATGTAATTGCTGGGCTCCAGGCGGATGTCGTTGACGACAGACAGCTGCTTGTTCGCGCCGACAATGGCGGCGAAGGTGGTGCCATTGTCGATTCTTCTGTTGCTCTTTTACAGGGTTTGTTCCCGCCGACGCCGCGCTCTCGCACGGGCCTCGCGAATGGTACGACTGTTGTCGGGCCTATGGGTGGTTATCAGTACATCCCGAGTATGTATTTCACGAATGATGCGATTCTGAACTAAACTAACGAGCATTCTTTCTTAGTCGAGTCTGTTGAACCAATCCAGAGCATTCAGCTTGAAGGCTGGACCTCATGTCCGGTTAGTATTGAAATTCATCTCCGAGTATCTTGCTGACGGAGTCTACAGAACTTTGAGAAACACGTTAAAGACTTCTACAACTCCCCTGGATTCAAGAAAAAGGCAGAAGAAGCTGCACCGTTCCTGAATGCTGTGAAGCCCTACATCTTCGGTATTGACAACACTCTGGAGAACATGGTAAGTTTGACCTTAAAAAAGTTGTTTCCGTTGGTGGAAGAAAAAACTTACCTGGATTAATTCGTAGTGGAACGTAAGTCAAATTCCAAATGCTTTGAGGGATTCTGATTGGCGGAGCACCTCGTCAGATTTATGACTATTTACACACAAACTACATTCACAACGAGACATATGCTTTCCGTCTGCCGCCGACGTTCCTCCAACAGGCACAATATTGGGTTGACTATCACGAACATGGTGTCTTCACTGACGTTGCCAATCGTGGAATCGGGAATGGTATACTTGACCCATTTTTAATATAATTCCAATCAGAATGCTAATTGAAATCGGTTTGCTAGTTGCCGGGCGCACAGTGTTGCCTTCGATCATCTCGGCCTTAGAGCGTATTAACAATGCCGATGACCCTCTCCGTCTTGTCATTCAGGAAGTAAGCTACAAACCGCTCATTTCGTTGTTCAATATCACAAATGTCACTGCTCGTTACCCTGAATTGGACGGTCTTCGTACGTATTCGTCTTTGCATTACTAGATATTTTTTAATGTATTTGGTGGCCAGCCACGTATGCATCTGCACTCGCATTGGAGCTCCGCGACAACGAGGAGGGCGAGACGTTCATTCGCGCCAAGTTCAAGAACGGTACGAGCGACTTTGAGGAAATTCACTTGTTCAGCCACAGAGACGATATTGCGTTGAACGAGTTACTTTACCGTCTTGATGTCAGTCTCCCCCTTTCGTCCTACCATAGCCTCCCGTCCGATTCGGCAAATGCTGATGTATTCTTGTCTTAGCTGACATCCATCGGTTCGACCGCTCATTGGTGCCGCGTCTGCGGTCAACGTTCCGCACGTGGATGCAATATATGTAACCGCGAAGAGTACGATCCTAGCATCGCCACTCTTGTCTCCACCTCAAATGAATCGTGTATCCAACGCATCGCGGGAGCCCTCTCTTCTCCCTCTGCACAGCTCATCTCCGCGGTACTCTTTGCGTGCCTGGCGTTCCTCGGGTTGTACAAGTTGTATGCTGCGCGTTCGGGTACGATGAGATTGAGGGGTGGATATGATCCACTGCCGACGTCTGCTCAGGTATTTGGATATTATCGTTTTGAGGACTTGATTGGGAATGCTGAACTTGACGTTTTTAATTTTAATTCCTTGAAATTCATGGATAGTATGTTGATGAACCAGCGATGACGAAAGGACGGGGTCGTTTCTGATTCAGGGATGACGGCTGTTGAAATAGCTTTGGTGGTCATCTGCATTACAAACTCTGATGCACTGTCTGCAAAGAGTTACTAATTAATTTTCTTGCCATTCTCACCAAGGACTGTTCATTATTTATGTTCCCTTTTCTCTGAAAAAACTCTTTGTAATATAACGTTTCATAAAACACGCTGGCGTTATTCCTTACCTTCTGTCTCGTGCGATCCGTGTCTGTAGAATCTGCATATTTTGGACAGTCCTTATCTCGAGACATTGCTTTTGTACAGTTATGCGGTAGTTTATAAATACTACTGATCTCCTTGGCGTTTCTCGCAGGAACGCAGACTGAAGAGCGCTCAACGTTATTGAGAGACAGAATCCCGACGTCAGTCGGTTTTTCCATCCAAACCCGCGTGCTATACAGCAATTCTCCGAACATTGCGCAGACTACTGTGCGAAGGCCCGAATGTATATGCTATGTAAAGTTTGGGTTTGAAAGGAAATTAATATAGTATATATGGCCTGTGGCTATCCGTTCGTACACCGTTAAGTTACGTCGGAGAGGCACTCTGTCCATGCTTTCTTCTTCACGACGCTAAGTATAGCCCACTGAGCATTGTATAAATGCGTTTCTGTATTTATTTCGTTCCTATATTGGAAGTCTTCCAAGCAGCATATGGTCGCGTTCCGTGTCCGATCCGCTTCTCAAATTCTTCAGATAGGTCAAGCACGGCGTTCGTGAGTCTGGGAGTAAATCGAATACCTAGCCTCAGTATTCCCAAAGTGTAGTGAGGCTCTTGCTTGCCGAACTGTCGAGCATTGTATCAAGACGGGAATGCCATAAATTCCACGAAAAAATCGCCTTTTTACAGACGCGCTTCGGCTTCAGATTTCTCCGTCTCGCCTCGATCATCCGCTCAACCTGCCGCCATCTGTCAAAACGCGATTTAGGTCTCCCACATTGTGCCAATCACTACATCCAGAAGTCGATGGGAGACAAGTTTGTAAGGTATTAGGAACGTAGGATGATGATGCCCCTTATCCTATAAGGTAAAGAAGCGAAAAACCCGAACGTGTGCCGAAGGTTTGAGCATGTGCCCTCCGAGGACCACCTGTTTCTGGAGCGCTATTTTTTCATCAACTCGGAGATAGTAGATTGAATAAATAGAGGATGGACATCTATCATCTAGTTGGTTTGCGACCCTTCGCCATCCAGTGGTCCCCGTCGTTTTGTTCTTGTACGTGAAGAGATTTTGAAAAATGTCAAGTTCAGACTCTGGTGTACTTGGTGTCGTTGTCCTCGCGCGTCATGGGGACCGTCAAGGGTTCTATCAAGACCCGCTCACATATACGGCGTCGCAGACGACTATCACGCCGCTCGGAAATGTATGCTAATTCCTATTCTCTATCCACCGTCAGATATCCAATCTATAATCTTTTCTGAAGGTCCAAGAATTCTTGCTCGGCGAGACACTGCGGACGATGTACATGGAGAACAACTCCTCTCTCCTCATTCAAGGCATAAACACGGCATTATTCGACCAAGAGCAGGTCAAAGTTCGTGCAGATGCAAGTGACGAAGGCGGAGTCATTTTCGATTCTGCGGTGTCTGTCGTCCAAGGTCTCTGGCCTCCGACGAACCTGTCGAGTACAACGTTGGCGAACGGGACCGTCGTTACTGCACCACTCAATGGGTATCAATACGTTCCAAGTGCGTTGAGTTGTGGTGTCCTTATCTGATAGAAATGGCATTGATTATCGGTGCAATTTAGTTGAGAGCGTGGAAGCTGATGAGGATGTTTCGCTGGAGGGCTGGGTTTCATGTGACGTAAGCGAACAAATGAAACCAAATTGACTGCTGGAAAACAAGGCTGATCATGCATTTCTTTCCGTAGCCGTTCAACGATGCGACAGCGGCATTTTACAATTCGTCGCTCTTCAAGCAAGTTGCGAGTGATAATGCGGCATTCCTTCAATCATTGCCTCCGTTCCTCGATGGACGAAGTGTCTCGCTTGTCAACAGTAAGTTCTCAATAGACGCGTTCTTTGAACTTGATCCCGACTGACTTTCTCTTTTATAGTGTGGAATGTAGGATAAAATAAATTCGCACAAACATCATACACTAATATTGTGGAATAGATATTTGACTACATGACTGTTCAATCTGTCCACAACGCGACATTCGCAAACAACTTGCCTGACGGATTCCTAGAGCGTGCGCGTGCCCTTGCGAACTTCCACGAATATGGCGTGTTCAGCTCCCTGCAGATCGATGGAATAGGAAACAGTTAGTCGTTAGTCCATCTCTGACCTTAAACACTGACTTTGTGTATCGTAGTTGCTGGACGAGCAATCTTACCATCCATCATTGAGGGCATGGAAAACGTTGCAAACTCATCAGTCCCACTCAAACTTTATTACGAGGCAATCAGCTACAAACCTTTCTTGTCCCTGTTCAATATGACCGGTCTTGCGGAGACTTATCCTCAGCTTGCAGGTGTCGGTACGGACATTTTTTATTCGTTTCTTTGCGTTCAATCTCTAATTCCATCTCTAAATAATATCGGTCAACCAGTCAACTACGCTGCATCAACCGTCTTCGAACTACGCGCAGGCAACACACCAAACGACCCAATGATCCGGTTCAAGTTCAAGAACGGCACAGACGACACCTTCAACACCTTCAACCTCTTCGGCCAATCAGGCGACGTTCCACTCTCGCTCTTCAAATCTAAACTCCAATTTGCCGCGATCAATAGCACAGTGGATTGGTGTACCGTATGTAACAACAACGAGGATCGTGGATGCGTGGCACTTGCGACTGCTAGAGCAACGGGTGCAGCGAGTGAGCATCATAGGCTGACTCCTGCTGCAGCTGGTGCGGTGGGCGCCGCTGTGACCATTGGAGCATTTGTCGCTGCGCTTGGTATTCTGGCGTTCCTTGGATTGATTTCGTTTGGAAGGAGGCCTAAGAGTGGGCACGGAACAAATGGCTCGGTATGTTCTTACTTTCCAATCGAAGATAACGCGTTGTGTTGAATGTCCTTAATAGCATTCATCTACCGAGAAACTTGACTATGAAAGGGATCGACACTCCGCATGATTTTTTAATATTGGTGATTTGTAAGGGTACTGATGATCTGTCTTTTTATTTGTACGATGTATGCGTTAACGTTTGTAACGGCGATGAGATCTGCAAATTTTTCGTTTTACTCAGGCCTACTCGTCTCGACTTTTCCGACTTCTCGCATGCCCTTGGGAATGCCATACGCTATTTCAGGTGCTTCTTACGTCACTTCGGTGCTTTTGATAACTCTCTGTGCCTGCAGTTTTATTGTTCAAGTAATCTCATCAAAGAAACCGAGCTTCCGGAGACGAGAAATCATTTTTTTTGTCTGCTCAAAGGCTTTGTCGTCTTATTGCAGACAGACAAACCCCTTTTGTTATGGAATTGGACCGGATGAAAGGCTTTGCTCTTTGTCCTTTATCTCTTTGTTTATCCAGAGTTTGGTACCACGATTCTATGGCCTGGGACCAACCTACATATATAGGCTCGCTGGCAAACGACTCTCCTTCAGTATCTTGCCTCTTAACCAACATTGTACGAAGTGCATCCGTCCGGCTTCATGACACGCAGAATTCATTCTCAAAGCTCGCAGACAGGCTTTCTGGAGTCTTTACATGCATAACCTGATGTGAACACATTTTGCACGCTATCGTTGTTGATGTGGCAGGTTAAGCAGGTTAAATATGAGGACCATTGATCATTATTGTCCCACACATCGATGCGTACTAGCACTTTCTTCTTGCAGTTGAGGCATGGCAGGTACCCACAAAGTAGGTGCCGATGTCTTCAACTTAAAAGACGTCTGATTGCTTTGAGCACGATGTCGAGTTATTAGGCTTGGCTGCATTCTCTCATTTATAAGTTAAGCTATCGAGGTGTGGAAATAAGGATGTGCATTGTATTAAATTATCTTCTTACTAAGATAATCTGCAGATCCTAGGATGTGTCAAGCATGCATCCATGACAGTATCTCATGAGTCATTATATGCCTCAGACGTCTGCTCATCTTACCCCGTGCTTTTGGAATCTCCTGCATTGGGGAGTGTGACGTGGTTATCAAGCCAACAAGTATGAATGTACAATGATGTGCATTAGTGATAGTAGAATTATGGTGCTAGAGTGTAGGGTGAGCAAATGACGGGCAGAAGAGTTGGGCTTGCCTTCTCATGCTTATATTTGTTGCTCATTCAAGTACGAGCTGTCTCGCTTTCTTTGTTATGCATTCCGTTCGAACTCGGAACCCATGCCTTCGAGTGGAGGTGCAATGAAGTGGAGAGTTTAACAAGTAGTACTTGTCAGTGAGAATAGGTAAGGGAAAGGTATGACGAACCTTTTGAGTCTGTGTAGAGATGAAATAAATTTAAGATGTACATTTTTCAAACTTATTTGATTGCTCGAATACATCCCGGTCTAAATTAGGAAGGTGTACAGCGCTTATTGTCGGCTGCCGCCAATCGTGCACGTCAACCACGCTCTCCTCCTACTCTCCCCCTCTTCCTCCTCTTCCTCGGCATTGCTCTCTTCCTCAATTTGACTCTTGGATTTCTCACTCTGGGGTCAATTCTGAGCTTTGACTCTTGCCTTCCTGTAAAAGGTGCCCTAAGTTCCGAACGCGGCGCATTGTACGTCGCCACGCGTGTCACGCGGTGTGCGGTCACCGATCGGCTGAAACTTCAATTCTGGTCCGCAGTCAGTGGAAGGCTCGGAATCCTGGACAAAGCATCGAACTCACCGCTACTTAAAGAGACGCAACGACGTTTGAATTTTCAAACTAATTCGTTGACATGGCCAAGTCTCGAGCAGCCTCTCCTCCGACACGAAACGCGCGAATGTTCAACAATGTTGTGCTCCGTATGTTTCTCGCATTCGTGATAGTGGTTTGGATACCGACTATCTCTGCGTCGGAGCACGTTTACGTTGCGCGAGAGGGATCACTTACTGTTCCGACTGTGACTTTAACGTCTAATAGTGCATCTGGAAGCGGATCAGGATCGAGTACGGGAACGTCTTCGAACGCTTCGGCAACACCTGTAGCAACAACGACAACAGAGCTCACGACGAGCTCGGGTCCAGTGAGCAACAGGTTTTTTTTTCTTTATTTGTTCTTTTGTTCAGCTTTACCGCGCTGGCGAGAACGTCTTTCTGTGATATTCGTAATCCGGAACTCTTGCTATATTTACTTCGCTAGATATCTTGCCTTTCAATTCGTCTATTCTGCCACTCTTGCTTCCTTCGCACATCTCATCTGAAATCCCGCTAATGCAACTATGCCAATTACAGGGCGGAACGTCGGCGTTCTTAACCACCGTCACGACACTCATTATTCCTGGTAGCACTTCAACTAATATTTCTTCCACATCAACATCGACTGCCTTCCCGAGCTTAAGCACCTATTCTCCTTGTGGTTAGTCTATTCCATTGATTTGATACGTGTTAACTTAACTAACGTGTGTAACAAAGTGGTAAACTGCTTGCAATCTGGCGTTGGAGCACCAAATTGCTCTAGTATCACAGATACTGCATGTTACTGCGTCAGGTGGGGTCGTCCTTATTTCTGTAAACTTACTCTCGCTTATCTTTATTTTTTTTCTACTAGCGCGGCATTCACATCAACTCTTGTCGGTTGTGTCACGAACCAATGTCCAGATGAATTGACTACTGCAGAGCACCTCGCACAGCTATTCTGCAACGTCGCCTCTCCGAGTGTCTCCCTTGCATTCCCCGCTCCTACCACCTCCGGCACTATAAACACGAGTAGCACAACTACAACGTCTGCGACTACGAGTCAAACTGGAAACGCCGCTATGCGATTGGGTGTCTGGGAGTTTAGCTCGACTCTAGGTCTTGGTTTGGGTTTGAGCATTGTGGGATTCATCTTTGGCTCCGTGTCTTGCTGGTAGTACCAAGTAATCAGGGACTCGGAATGTGTCAGTTGTTTCGATTCGGGGTGTATTCGTTCTTTCTTACTCATTCGTTTACTAGCACAAGATTTATATCGTTCTCTATCGTTTTCCCTTTTTCCCCTGCATGGACTTCTCGCTGTATGCACGGTACCAAGTGGATTTTCCCCCGCACATATTCTTTAATGAGACATTTCTTATTTATTTGGGTCAAAGAAGTATGGGTTGGTTTGTCTGAAAGTGTGCGGAGCAGAATTAGGTTATATGATTAGTACTGACAATTATTGTCAATGATGTGCATACACCAGTGCATTGAGGGAGGACAAGCAAATGCAGTACTATTAATAGGCATTGCTGATATATTCATATTAAGGAAACCAAGCATACTTTTCGTAATATTATACAACAGGTTATAGGAGTTGTACATGGCAGACATGTTGTTGCAAATAATGCAGAAAGGACCAGCTTGAACGTTACGATGGAGGTGGCTGTGTAAGTGGACGACTTTAGAAAGGAACCACCTGCTTAAAATTGAAGCAAAAACTTAGAATATTCAGAATGTTGCTTGCATTAATTCATGCCTCTCATAATAGTATTAATAAGTACCAACACAAGCAGTGCTGACCAGATAACTTATAGTACTCTTCTCAGCCATCTCTGGTGGACCACCCCAAAGAGACTTGTAGAATGAGAATTTTGTTCCTGTGCACAACTGTACTGTACTAATATGTGCTACTTTGATAGACTATCAAGCCATTGAATCACTGATTATCACTCAATTCAAAACTGTTGTGTGCAGACAGCAAATATAGAAACTGTCTTTCCATTCATATTCTGATTTGGAACAAGTTCTAAATCCACAGCTGATTTTTCTATAACCTGTGTAATCGATATTTACTGTTTTACCTTTCCAAGTCATCAATTGCAGCATGAAGCCAATCTACAATGTTTTCCTCCACTTCTCCTTGTGTTTCGCAATAGTAATACGCAAGGCTTAACCCCATCCGTGGGTCCTCTCCTGGCATATGTACTGTAACACTATGTGTCAGAAGGCGAAAGGACATACATGAGAGTGCATTTTTAATGTCCAAACTCACTGAATCCTGCGTAATCTTTGCCTTCCAGAAGAGGATGCGGTCTGTTATCCGAGTCCACCCGCATATAAACGGAAGCAGCCACCTTTTGTCCTGTTGACGGAACCAACTTATTGACTGAATCAAATTAATGGTTGTATGAAACTTCACTTTGACTGTAACTTACGAGACCCACATCACGAAAAAGTCTTAAGTATTGTATTCACTTGTAATCCTATACATTTTGTACCTTTTATAAAATTTGTCAATGTTAATATAATCTTCATAGGGGGTTAAGCAATGATAGTACAATGTTAAATAAGTAAACAAGAATACTTTTAAAACTTGGCAATTACAATTATAATTGTGTAAATTGTCAAGTTATACAAGTGATTATAATATACTTCCTAAGATTACAAGGTTAAGACATACTTATTAATTTGTGACAGTATAATATCTACTTATAATGCTTATAAGCCATTACAAGCATTTGAATCACTTCCTTTTGCTTTGGATACAATTTTTTATCAAATAATTTATAAAATATAATTATATTTAATTATTTAATACAAAATAATAAATAGATACATTATTT